GGATGGATGATGGATGGATGGATGGATGGATGATGGATGGATGGATGATCGATGGATGGATGATGGATGGATGATGGATGGATGGATGGATGGATGATGGATGGATGGATGATGGATGGATGGATGATGGATGGATGATGGATGGATGGATAATGGGCCCTGTGGTGTTGCACACCCATGGTTGTGTCTGATGCACCTCTGACTCTCAGACGGTGAGTCAGAAGCTGATGGCGCTCCATGAGCACTGAGGAACTGACCTGGAAGCCGTCCCTTATTGTCAGCATGCATATCGAGACAGTGGAAAGGAAAACCTTTCCTTTAACAGAAGGAAACGTCCAGTAGAGCCAGTTGCAGTGTTATATTCCCCGTGTGGATGTCATGTTTTTTGAAGTAATGCCGTGTGCCGCTCCAGGCCCCGCCTCCAAGACTGGGGGCTGCTTCCTTGGTGTTAAGCCAATCAGCAATCCCCTGTCCTTTTGCCATTTCTATGGATTTCTCTGATGAGGCTGAGGGGGTTGAAGTCCACCCACCCCCAGTATTAGAAAGCTGGCCTCAGAGGCCTGAAGCAGACTGAACCTTTAGATGCTGTGGAGGAAAGGAGGAGCTTCGCCGTCATCAGCTGTCTCTACTCACCATAAAATATTTCTCTGTGAAAGAGGGCGTGTTCGGAGCGGTCCAGCTGTAGAAGGAACCTTTCCTGCTCGACACCGACTGCTTGTTGACGGACAGCAGCCTCATCTTCTCACCGCCGTCAAACGGACTGGAAGACAGACGACACTCAGTCTGAGGAGATCAATGACCTGATGCAACTAAAGCCTGGTTTATACTCAGAAACCAGGTCACAAGCCAACCCCCCACCCCTTCCGCAGATACCTCCCCAAAATTGTAGGTGACCGCAGACAGGAGGCCCCTGATTGGTCAATTCCACATCCATCCTACACCACGCGTATTTCCTAGTAGCTCTAGTTTGTAGCTTTGTGTGACGGTCTGTTGGTTTGCACCCAAAACACGCAGCGCCACGGCCAGTCTTTGGTCTTTGGGGAACACTCACGGGGAAACTGGGTGTCGTCCAGCATTAGATGAGGGTGGCAGACTGCGAAAAAGCTCTTCAAACTGACCCACAAGCCTAGCTAGTTCCTGATTGGCCCTCTAGTGTTGTGGCGTGGAATAACAGCGCAGACTTCAAAGTTGGGCATAAATCAAAAATATCTGCGACAAGCTCACTGCGACACACTGCTGTGGGGGGATAAGCAGCCCTTTGAGGGTGAACTGTGATGCATGGAACCACAGAGGCCGATACGCGGGCCGATACGCGGGCCGATGCGAGGGTCGATACGCGGGTCGATGCGCGGGTCGATACGCAGGTCGATACGCGGGTCAATGCGCAGGTCGATATGCGGGTCGATACGTGGGCCGATACTCGGGCCGATAGGCAATACGCAGGTCAATACGCGGGCCGATACGCGGGCCAATAGGCAATACGCAGGTCAATACGCAGGTCGATACGCAGGTCGATACGCAGGTCGATACGTGGGTGGATACGCGGGTCGATACGTGGGTGGATACGCGGGTCAATACGTAGGTCGATATGCGTGTGACATATTTATTTCTATAGCTCCAATTCACATCATGTCATCTCAGGTCACTTTCCAGTTCACCAGATCATCCAGTCAGATTGATTCAAAGTTTTCTATCTAAGGAAAACCAGCTGATTGCATCGACTCATTGACTCTTCAGCAATCTCTCACACTAAGCATGCTTGTAGCGACAGTGGAGAGGAAAAACTCCCTTTGAACAGGAAGAAACCTCCAGCAGAACCAGGCTCAGCGTGAGCGGCCATCTGCTGAGGCCCACTGGGGTTCAAGGAGACAGAAGCAGACATAGAAAAAGAAGCATAGATACAAAAGGCAACTGTCAACCAGCTCCACAGGCGGCCCCGTCCAGGAAACACAGTGGAAAGAGAGAGAGAAATGGCACAAGAAGCGTGCGTCCTTTACTGGAACCGTTTTTAGCTCCAAGGCTAGGCTAACTGCGTGCAGCGAGGCTAATGCTTTATCCTGCTTTCCCTGCCTCCTTTTCAATCATCAGGATCTGAGCCAGCGTGGATAAAGACAGCTAGGACTGATTTAAAGCACTTTTTAGAAAAGACAAAGAAGAATGAACAATCTGGGATTCACATGGAAAATAATAGAATATAGTCTATTTTTATTTGTTAATTTGCATAGTTGCTCTTAAATAAACCCATTCTAAGAAAACAAATAGTTTTGTTTTATATATTATAAAAATATAAAGCTGACTAATTGCTTATCTAATATTAAACTGATACATTATTTTTTTTAGGTTTGTGACTCAATATTGGACCAAAACACAGATTTACCTTCACAGCTTCAGAAGGGCAAGATTTATGGACAAAAATAAGCCTGCACATGGAATGATGCACATGGAATGAGAGACATGCGGTGAAGGACCACAGGTCGGATTCCAACCCAGGTCACCTGCGTTGAGGACTGAGGCCTCCATACATGAGTCATGTGCACTAACCCCTGTGTCACCAAAGCACGCCCTTTAACTGTTTTTATAATATTTTTTGCTGTTGGCATTCATATAAATATACTTGGATGCTAACTTGCTATATGTTTGATTAGTTTTTGGTATACGTCTATTTTGAATTTATAGCCCCCCCTACTCGGAGGAAACTCCACCAGCTTGTTCAGTGTAAATGGAACGCAAAACTGAACCGGACTGTGTCAGACCCAACCAAACCGCGCTAACATGGTGCTAGTTCATCAGTAGGGCTCGGCACGGTTCAGTTCTGGCTCGGTTCTCATAAGCAGACCGCCTCATCATCCTTACAGTCAGCCTCCGTAATCAGGAAACTTCAGACATTCCTAAAATCCTAGCTTCCCTAACGTTCTGCATGATTTCCAGTGATGATTCTGCTTAGCAGAGTGATGAATCTCATCGTCTGTCGTTGTTTCCTGCGTCTGGAAGCCCTGATTAGACGATCGTTTGTCGTTTCCACTTCCTAAAACCCGACTCTGTCGAGTAAATACACCAAAGGCTGCCTTCTTGGCCTGACTCTCAACAAACTTCCTGAATGTTACGGGCGAGTTTGCTTGTTTCACGCTAGAGAGCAGTAGTACAGTAGATCGCCACTAGGAGGCGAGATACCGTGCTAGAGTGGCATGTAAACGGTCCTAAGGAACCCAGCTCGGTTCGGATCGGTTTTCAGAGGGTGGAGGAAATGGGGCTTAAGTCTCGTTCTTGATACTTTACTCCGTTCACCTAAACCTCCACCTTCCTGTTGCTTTAGGACTTTCATTTGTTTTTCTGAGGTTTTTGTTTGTGTCCGTACTTCCAGGTGACCTCCAGCTGCAGCTTGATGGTTCCCAGCTCCGTTATGTCCACCAACATCAGCTGCGGCCTCGCCACGAAGAAGTCCACGCTGGCACAGGTTACCATGCCAACCAGCAGCCAACCCAGACCCTTGGCCTCCGTCACCTGGGTGAGGGGATCACATGGGTTATAAACATGCACACACACTTTGCTCTGCAATGTTGAACTGATTGATCATGTGATCATCAGCAGGTATGGAGTAAAATGAAGAAGATTAATTTGAGGGGAGCCCACTAAAGCTCTAGGTTCCAGATGCACCGCCCGCCACTGGCTAATAAGCTAAAATAATCTTAACCCCTCAAGTGTTTGTTGAGCCCTCACAATTTTCCTTTTTTTTAAAAAAAATAAGGAAAAATAAAATAAATAAAGAATAAATTGGACACTTTGTCGAAATAAACTGCTGACAGGAATAACCAACAACTCCGTTTGACTTTGTCCTTAGCATCTCCACCAACCTTGATTTCAAAGTTATGGTATATGTGTGGGAGGAAGACCATCTCTTCTTCATCCCAGGACTGAGAGTCATCAGACTCGATCCGTCCTCTGATTTTCCATCGCTGCCGGCCCAGTCGCACCACCACCTGCACATGTCCAACATAAACCCCATTTTTAAAAAGACCATGTTTCAACATTTCCTTTCAGTGGCAATCGACCTTCCCTCCATCTATGACCTGATCAGGTGAAGGGCTGAACAACAGAAAGAAAGGTGTTTGTCCAGAACAAGTTTAGAGCTTACAGTACAAGTTAAGAAGTAATAACTTTGGAAAAAATGTAAGTACAAATCACAAATTTAGATACAGAATGTAAAAACCAGAGGAAGGATTTTCACACCTTACTAGCGACATACTCTTACCAGAATATATATATATATATATATATATATATATATATATATATATATATATAAATATGGTACTTTTACTTGTAAAATTAGTTAATCGTATTATTTCATGTGTGATTTGTACTCTGTGGTAGTTTGGAGCGCAGGGGCGGCCGGTATGAGGATCAGATCCTCCAAATCAGAGGCCATGGTTCTCCATCGGAGAAAGATGGCCTCCCCTCTTCAGGTCGCTGGAGAGTCCTTGGCTGTTTCTCAATTCACAAGAACACGAGTACAGACTAGTGTTCTCGCCAAGTCTGTTCTTGAGAAGAACCCAGGAAAGTCTGGACTCGGGGAGAACGGGGGAACGCAGAATAAATCTGGGTCAATTGGAACAGAAGCGTATTGATGACATCACCACATTCAAAGCTCATCTAGAGCTGCATTTCATCTCCTGTTATTAATAGTCTCTAAATAATAATAGATTATGACTTTTTTCATCTATTGGGGGAATAATGAACACAGACAGATAAACACAAATCAAATGAACATTTTGCCAAATAAAACAAAAATATCTCCAATAGACCCAGTGGTACTTCACATATGGCTATGCAGAGAGAGGGTTGCTGCAGACGGGCTAACGTTAGCCCTGGCTACTGCAGACGGGCTAACGTTAGCCCTGGCTACTGCAGACGGGCTAACATTAGCCCTGGCTGCTGCAGACGGGCTAACGTTAGCCCTGGCTACTGCAGACGGGCTAACGTTAGCCCTGGCTGCTGCAGACGGGCTAACGTTAGCCCTGGCTGCTACAGACGGGCTAACTTTAGCCCGGCTGCTGCAGCCCTTGGAGATCTGCTGGTTGCCGCGGTCCTCTCAACTTTGGTAATTTATTATTTTTTTTATTACGAATTAAATCGGTTAATGGTCCATATAGTGAAGCTTAAAGTATAATGTTCTCGTTCCAAATGATCTTAAAACATACGTTTATTGAACAACAGCGACAGAAAAGAGAACTTTTAATTTAATCCTCTAAGCTCTGTGAGCGCTAACCTGGAAGCTGCTGCTGCTGCTGCTGCAGTGCATGCTGGGACAGCTGTCAGTCTGGAGAACGGACACATTCATGTGAATGTGCTTCACTGGAGGCATCCATGTTTGTCAAAGAACACTACTGCCACCTACTGGTTAGTGACGTCACGGTGCGGTATCGGCTGTTGATCAAGTCCCAGTGCTGTATCTGGTGTTTGTCACAACGCGCTATTATCCAAGTCATCTTGAAAACATTCTTCTTCCAAATGTTGGCTACATACAGGTGCTGGTCATAAAATTAGAATA